GAGTGAGTTTCGGATATGATTCAATATGAGCCCCCCATTCATTCCCCCTCCTCATACTGGCCGCGAACGGGCCCGTGAAAACGCCCCTGGCGGCTTCCCTCAGGGGTGCTGAAACCAGCGCCCGCCTGAGACATCCCACAATCTGCTCTGACAGCCAAGGATGTTGGGCATGAAAACAAGCAAACCGCCTGAAACATCCCCGCAAACTGGCCGCGAACGGGCCCGTGTCCTACCCCCTGGCGGCTTCCTTTAGGGGTGCTGAAACCACCGCACCGCCTGAGACATCCTCAGGATCTGCTACGAAAGCAAAAAATGTTGGGCATGAGCACGGACAAACCCAGTGAGACATCCCCACAAACTGGCCGCGAACGGGCCCGTGAAAACACCCCTGGCGGCTCCCACTAAGGATGCTGAAACCAGCGCCCCGCCTGAGACATCCTTTGAATCTGATCTGACAGCCAAGGATGTTGGGCAGGAGAACGGACAAGCCGCCTGAAACATCCCCACGAACTGGCCGCGAACGGGCCCGTGAAAACACCCCTGGCGGCTCTCCTTAGGGGTGCTGAAACCAGCGCCCCGCCTGAGACATCCTCCGAATCTGATCTGAAAGCCAAGGATGTTTGGGCATGAAAACATACAAACCGCGTGAGACATCCCCACAGATTGGCCGCGAACGGGCCCGTGAAAACACCCCTGGCGGCTCCCTTTGGCGGTGCTGAAACCAGCGCCCCGCCTGACACATCCTCAGAATCTACTCTGAAACCCAAGGATGCTGGGCAGAATTGCTCACTGCGTGGAGCTCCCCATACACCGGACTCACTTCTATAGCGCTCACTTCTATAGTGCTCACTTTGAAATTGTGGTCCGGAAGGGGCCGCACATGCAGGCACATGCCGCACAGTCGCATGCACATGCCCATGCAAATATACAAAAGCCTTAACAGCATTGCCGCACATGCGCGCACATGCCACACCGTCCGACGCACACTCGAATGCACGGTAAAGCAAAACTCTGAAAGCATAGACGCACATGCCAGCACATGCCGCAGAGATGTCGCAGCCTGACCACCTGAACTCGGAGCATTTCGCAACCCAGAGTTGCGAGGATGTCTCAGGCAAGCGTGGCCGGACCACCATGGGGCAAGGCATCTTGGAAACCAGAGTGGCGAGGATGTCGCTGGTCAAGGTGACCAGACCACCATGGGGCAGGACACCTCCGAGGTCTGAGTTGTGGGGATGTCTCAGGCGAAAGTGGCCTGACCACCATGGGGCAAGAGATCTCCGAGGTCCGAGTTGCGAGGATGTCTCTGGCGAGAGTGGTCTGACCACCTCAGCCCAGGGCGTCTCGGAACCCAGAGTTGCGAGGATGTCTCAGGCAGGAGTGGCCTGACCACCTGCTCAGGGCATCTCGGAACCCAGAGTTGCGAGGGTCTCAGGCGAAAAAGGCCGAGACACTATGGAGCAGGGCATCATTGAGGTCATAGTTGTGAGGATGCCTCAGGCGAAAGTGGCCTGAACACCTCAACTCAGGGCATCCCGGGCGAGGATTCTAAAGCGAAAGTGGTCTAACCACCTCAGCTCAGGGCGTCTTGGAACCCAGAGTACCGAGGATGTCTCAGGCGAAAGGGGCCGAGACATATCGAGCAGGGCATTGATATCAGGGTTGCGAGGACGTCTCAGGAGACAGTGGCTGACCCATTCGTAAGATCGGGTGCTGCCCCACGACCTCGCGCAAAGCCTTGTGAAGGTGGTGCAGTAATGCCTTGTGCACCTGGTCGTTCCAGCATTGTTCCGGCGTGCAGTTCCTGCTGGCGAACGCGGGCAGGGCGAGCGCTGCGCGCGCCTGTGCGGAGCGTGAGCGGGGCGCCCCGTCTGTCGGGGCCGCGCAATCAAGCGAACGCTCGTCCGCGCGCGGCTTGCGCGCGGACGCGAACGCGCCGGCGCCCGGAGACGAACGCCGGCCCCGGCATTCTTGCACGTCCCGCACATGCCCCGCACAGGTACGCACAGTATTCGCACAGGCCGACCTCGCCAGTGGCCGAGCCAGGCCAGCGATTCCGAGATTCCCTGAGCTCGGGCCGTCAAGCCATTTTCGCCTGAGACATCCTCGCGACTCTCACCTCCTCCTCCTCCTCCTCCTCCTCCTCCTCCTCCTCCTTCTCGTCTGGCCGAGCCGAACAGGCGGGCGGGCCGGCCGAGCCGGGGGCGTCCGCCTCCTCCGCCCCCCCATCCTTCCCCCCCCCCCTCCACCTCCCCCCCCCCCTGCTTCTCCGGCCGAGCTGAGAAGGCGCGCGGGAGAGCGTTTTACTAGGAGGGCACGCCGCCGCCAGCTCACAAACCGGGCGAAGAACCGCCCCCGCCAGCAGCGGGCGAGTCTAAACGCTCAAGGTTAGCTCTGCGAAGGCCTGGAGGCATTGGAGGCACAAGGGTCCCAGACAGATCCTAGGGCATGAGCGTGCATGTGCATTGGGATGTGCACGCATGTGCGCCCGCGCGCTTCA